AAAAAAAAACAAGTCATGCCGCTTCTTCTGCTCATCTGTTTTCACATCTTCTCCTCTCGCACCTTTATAAATAAATTTGAAATATCAGGAGGTGATAAGGGGAGAAACCGTCTGAGTTTCGTCCTTAGCTGTAGACACAGGTCGAACACATTGTGTAGGTAGGAGTAGGAATCACCCGTACAACCTCCTGTCTGCCATGTTTATGATAAGCAGTAAAAACTCTTGTCCATTCAATCATTTAATACTAGAGTAGACAGGATTGAAAATGGACAATACAATTTAAGAGAAAAAAGCGCTTAATTAGGTGTCTATTTCTTTCCTGTTTCTTTTCTTTTCCCCACCTCATATTCGTAAAAATTTTTCTTAAATGCGGGCCAGTGTTAATTACGCGAATTTTCAAAATGCTAATTTTAAGCAGAGGTACCAAATGTTCGTTTCAGTCAAAAAAATGTTTTGGTTTTAAGTGACCCTTGAGGAAATACTTTATTTTTGCGCTAGCGAAACAATACTCACGAAATTGTACTATTTATGTAAAACTTAGTGACGACGTCGGGAGCAGATTCATTTATGTCTTTACTAGCTCTTCTGAAACACAGCTGATTGTTTTTGGGCGGCAGCACGCTGTGCTATGGCTATCACTTTCATGATATTGTGAAATTTAGCATTCAATTCTTAGTGCGTGTGCACATTTTGGCAAATGTGAGTAACCAGGGGGATTGCAAAATGTTGCTTTTAGGTGGCAGACGAATGCGATGGTCAACGGCATCGGCAGTTTTATCCTAGCATTTCTTTTAAGCAGTGCAGAGGCTGTTATAACAACGAAAGGCCGTCGCTTTGTGGTCAATGAGGGTGACAGTGTCGAGCTGCCGTGCAACATCCAGGATATCGGTATGCTTTACTGATCCAGTCCGTAACAAGCAAAGAAGAAATATAAGAAAAGAGGATAGATTTTAATGATGCATTCTTGCAGCGGATGATGCGGTGGTAATATGGAAACGAGGTGAGCAGGTGTTGTTCACAGACGAAGAGGTCTTTCATGAGGATCAACGATTCCTTCTACACAGGGAAAACAATGTAGGTTCTAACACTACGATTTAGTCTCCTTACTAGCTGGGCAAAGATTCAGGATACCAGAAATATTCACTAATCGAATATTCACAGCTCACTAATATTCAGAATTCCTGCTAGCCCTCTACTGTTTTGCTATCCGTGGAACCACAGCGTAGCGAAATGCTGAAATTGCTGCGAAATATTAGAATGTTTTTTTTTTCTGCATAATACTTATCCTTTTTCCTGATTCTGATGTTCATGGGGCAAATTCTGAGCCTACTGGGAATTTGGTTCCAACAAGTTTTCTTTGGCTTCATTACCAGCTCGCTAATTAAAAATTTCGAAATTCTGAAGCATACTGATATCTATGTACATAAAGTAGACTACGTTCATTTTTATGCGTATATATACGACTTATATGTATGTCTACATGTATATACATACATATTTATATGTATCAAGATCGTCCCGGCTTAGTGTTTTAGCGTTTCTAGATCCACCGGACTCAAAACTAACGCGACGCTTTTCAACGCAGCGCTCTTTTAAGCCAAATTTAA